ACATCACACTATTCACCGTCATAGAAATAAAGGTTGGTATAAAACCAAAAAAAAACCAATGGAGCACAAATTTTAAACAAATTTATTTATCAATAATCAAACCATTTACTGTCCACTTATCTCAGTGAGATTTATAAAAAACGACCCATGAAAACAATAACATCATAGATATCATGAATTCATACAAAATCTGTACATAGCACACGTCATACTTTTATATTTCAATCATCAAACAATAGTTGCCCCCTTTTCATCAGCCTACTAGTATCCATGGGGATCCATAGGGGTCCCCGCTACACGTGAATCATTCCCTTAATAAACTTAATTTTCAGGGCCGTCCCCATACCCCGTCTGGTAGGGACACCAAACAATAAACCTCAATACCCCGTCCGGTATGAGGGTGAAGCGGGCCGTCCCCATATCCCGTCCAGTATGAGCGCCAAAATATTTAAAGTCTTCATACCCTATCCGGTATGAGACAACGTTCCCGGTAGGGTTCCCTATGGACCCAGTCCATCCACCATCTCTCATGATATCTAATGAGGCTGTCATCTTATCCAATTATCAATTCACACCCCTTTTTTATTTTTTCTTTAGTCTCCGTTACCCATTCAAACATGAATACTTAAACAAGTAACGTACATCCAACAAGGCAAGCATATCTTAGATTCACAAAATCAAGCAGTAGTGAAGTAAACAATGATTCATGCATTCAAAATCATAGAATAAATAAACCAGATAACATAATGCATTTAAACTGTAAAATACATCAAACAGAAATTGACAGAGAAATATGTCCAGTTCGGGCTCCATTAACAACTGTAATTAATTATGCGTATCTATTTAATATGTACAAAATACAGTATTATTATTTATTCAAACTTCAATTCCATGATAGGAAATAGGGTGAGGGGTTCTTACCCAATTCGACGTCCAAAACTAGATTTTCACTGCGCCTACGGACAGTCCCTGAATTCCCTGAAATTTTCTCTAGGAACTGAAACACGCTTATGGTACCTACACATGTCCCAAATAACTCAAAAATCAGACCTAGTATCTACTCGGCCAATTTCAGAATTCTGGCACGGTGGCTCCGCCGTGCTCCAGCGACGGCACTGCTGCTCGCGGCGGTGATCCACCTCATGTTGGTTGTTTCCGGCCGAATTCAGCTAAACTCACATTGATTCCTGTGAGACAACACCCCTAGAGCTCTCGGTGGGCTGAAAAAACACAGAAAATCAAAACTTACTAGCGGTGGGGCTTTATGGTGCGGCGGCTCCTCTGGCTCGCGTCGCGGTTTGGTATTTTGTGTCAGTCAACCTGTAGAGGAGGGAACAGTGGTCACAATGGTGAAAAAATTGCATCGAACGGGAATCAGAAAGGGCCTCATCGAATGCAAAAATTGAGACAACCCGTGGCGGCGTCGCTGGGCTTCGGCGGTATTTTTCGGCCAATTGACCAGTGTTTTTGCTCCGATTTGACCATAGGTGGGTTTAGAATTGAATTCTGAGCCAAGAGGAGAATTTTTACCTCGTTTGGCTGCCGAAAATTGCTCCGGTGCGGCGGCGGGTGCTGGCGGTCGGCTCCCCGGCGGCTAGGTTGTCTTCTTTGGCGAGGGGCCCTGGCGGGTAGGGTTAGGGTTTGGGTGCGGATGAAATTATTTATAACGATCCGCTTTTAATTTGAGTCGTCTATCGCGATTCAATTTGGGCCGTCCGATCGCGATTAAATAGGAAATGAATCTGGACCGTTCATCGCGATGCAATCTGGGCCGTCTGTGCGCGCGGGAACGAATCTTAGCCGTTCGATCGCATGCACGCAGATCACCCACGTGTCTCCCTTCCGCGTGGCCTCCCGCATCAGCGTCTCTGCCACGCGGCGCGTCCTGGTTGGCCGGAGTTGCTGACCGGGCAGCTGACGGCGCAATTTTTTTAAATTATGTTTTGACCTTCGATTTTCAATTTTTCTTTCAAAAATACCCCAAGAACCCAAAATTTCAACATTTTTTTCCAAAATTATTTTCAATTAAATCCCTAAATAATTTTTACCTCTTTTTATTATTATTATTATTATTTCTATTAAAATAAATTAAACTAAATTAAATTCAATATATTATTACATAATTAATCATTATATTCATATAATAATTACAAAATTAATATTTCCAAAAAAATAAAAGTAAAATTAAAATTAAAAAAAAAAAAAAGAAAGGGTTAGGGTGTTACACCTGTAAGTCAACTATTTTTATTTCAAGACTAGTAAATTCCAATGGTACTTGAGTTATCGTGTTCGTGGATCTTATACCACATAGGAGTCTTACATAAATGCCAACTAGTTATAACCTTAAATGTATTTGCATGCAATAAAAAAAAACAAACAAACAAAACAAAACACCATAAAAACCTAATAATATATATATATATATATAAAAGTACCACATGAAAGAAAAGGAAAAAGGAAATAAAATGGAAAAGAAAATAAATTAGCACTTATAAAATGATTCTCAAAATGGAAAAATATTTTAAAAAAAAAGACAAAACCATAATTCCCTCTTCAAATCCGAAAATGAACAATCCCTCACACTACTCACCCACGAAAACAACCACTCACCCTACCTAGAGACTCATACCTATTCCAATCGTAGAACCGACTTTGATTATACAATTCAAATATAAGCATATTGTATATCTAATACATTAATGTAAATCTAATCACCAACAATAGCCCATCTATTTGTATCTTTAAATTTATTAAGTACAACATCCAAATTCTACTTCTTAGAATTTAAATATTATAGATTTTTTAATAAAATTCATATTTTAATTAGAGTTATAAATTAAAGTAGGATTTCATTTTCTCTCAATTGATTAAGAAAATTTAATTTAATATTTTGCTTTAATTATTTTTTTTATTTTGGTAAAAAAATACAGGAGCCAATTATTCTCAATAAATATTATTATCTTTAATATTTAGTATATAATATATTATTTAAGTCATAAATATTCGTTAGTCAAATTCAATCAATATTTTCAATAGACTTTTAATATATTATATTCAGTGTAGGCTAGCTATAGATCCCATTTGTGTAATGTGTTTCGAGGTTGAAGAAAGGATTCTACAACACACGAAATCAGAAGTATTTCTGTGGATGACTATTCCCAACTTCTTCAATTGGTTGACATAGTTATTATAAGTGACTTTAAAAATTTTATGGCGCTGTAATTAATGGGTACATTAGAAAAAAGTTGATAGCACTTGATGTGTTGATCCAAAGTTTAATAATTCATGTGAATTTAACTTAAATTTGCAAAAAGGCCTCATTAAGAATTAGTCACCCAGGGAGAGGACATGAGAAACACCAATATGAAGTTGGTGTAAACCCCACCTTTGCCTCATATATGTAAACTTAACTATAATTATTCTATTAGAGTAGAAGAGTGGAGCAATCTTAAAGGTATTTATAAGGATGATATTGGAGCTATTATGTTTGCTAGGATGAGGTAGATGTCGACTCCTTCCTCTATTGATATTGTATTGTTAAAGCTCAAGTTATGGTATACGAATTATAAATAGCTCGATGAATTGATATCAAAAGGCTATAAGTAGAAGGTAATTCACAACTAATCACGAATTCTCGCACGTCACCAAATTAAGAGATTAGTTTGCTAGTATATATTTTTGTTAACATATATAATGTTTTTTTTTAATTATTATTTTATTTTATATCAATTTGTTAAATTATTAAGAATTGTAATGAGGTAACTTGTACACTAATACATAGAGTTTTTTTTTTATTTTTTTTTCCAATCTTGGCATTAACTTTCTTGTTAGGGTTCTCTCATTAGCTTTGGTTCCTTCACTTATGCTGGATAATCTTACCCTTGTAGAGTTTTAATGATATTTGATAATTTTAGTCTAAGAAAAAAACAAAAACTTTTCATAAGATTTTGTTTAAAAAAAATAATAAATAATAAATAAAATAATCAATAAATCTCATTAAAGAAAACTCTAAATTAATTTTTTTAGTTATTGTTTTACAAAAAAAAAAAGACAAAATAACACTAAATCCAAAATCTTTGTGCTGCTCTTTTGTACTCTAGTGGAATATGGTATGTCTCAAACTCCTATGAATAAGCTCAATGTGCTATAAATCTTCAAAGATGCCAAGTTTTGTGGACCTATTAGGAAGCACATAATGCCCCAAGGATAGACATCCCTGTATATGCTCATTAATTTTGGCATGTAATAAATGACAAACAACATTTAACACATTAGTAATTAATTAATCCAAGGAAAAATCTCAACTTGCCAATAGTTTATTTATTTATTTATTATTATTATTATTATTTTTAATATCAATTATAAAAAAAAAAATTGGCTTTTACATTAAAAATAAAATCTATCATTATTAGCACTAATATTTTAGTAAAATTTTGATATTTAAAAATTTATTATTTTTAAATTTTTCTACTAATATTATCCTCAAGATAATTTTCCATATATCTATCTCAAGAATAATTTTCTATATTGACATAATTTATTTTTAACTTACCTTAATCGCCTCCTCACCAAACTCCTTTCTGTCTGTCATCGATTAATTTTACCATATATTGATCTAACGAAATGACGAGATTAGCCTCGCTTAGCAAAATTGGTTTCCATTGAGCATGTGCCACGTGGCTTTCCAGGGACGTACGCGGATGCACAAGAAGGAAACTAGTTAATCATTGTTTTTGAAAAATTAAATGCACTTACTTATGGGGGAAGAGGCTTTCCTTGGTTTCCCTCTCGTTTCCCTCCCCCCCTCCCCACCCAACCCCACCCCACCCCACAGTTCCAATTTTAAAAGACACGAGAAGAATAAAAAAGAGAAAAGCTCCCACTTCTGAGGGATATATATAAATATATATGTATGTATATGTTATCTGTGTGAGAGATAAAACCGAGTAATCTTTGTCTCTTTATCCTTCTCTCTCTCTCTCTCTCTCTCTCTCTCCTTGTTCACTGTATAATGCAGCTAATGAGAAACCAGAAGGTTCAAGCAATGGCGGAGAATGCAGTGGTGCCGGAGGAGCTGCCCGAGCTGACTCCGCCTTTTAGCATTGAGGACATCGGCGCTGGAGTCCTAGGACTGACTGCAATGCTCGATGCGGGTGACGGGAGCGAGAGCTTGGATAACAGCTTCGTGTTCGACATTGACCAAAGCGTGCTCGTTGATCCTCGCTGCATCATGCTCGAGAAAATGATCGGAGAAGGGGCTAGCTCCATTGTCTACGAAGGATCGTGGGTCCTTTGTTTCTTGCGTTTCTTGATTTTTCTTTTCTATTAAGTTAGGTTTATCACAATGCATGCATGTTGTTTGGTGTTTTGATACTTGTTTGTCGGCTTTGCGTTGATCGTATCTTATCACTACTTGACTTGAATTTTGGGAAGGGGCACTTGATATTCGAATCCAGGGGCGTTATCTTAGTTATGAATATTTTGGCGGGTTTTTAGGGTCTTTTATGTGGGTTTGGTTGAATATTGAAGTGTTGCGGGTAATGAGTGTTGACTTCAATGAAATTTGTCAAGGTCTCGGTGATATGCTCTTGTTGAATCGATAATGAGGGTCCCCCAAAGGGGTCTCATGTTGAATTGACTGAAAATATTTGTTCATACATGATATTATCTATAGTTGTTGGTTTGCTTTGAGTTCTTCATACTGAACAAGTAGCTAGAAATTTTTCCAGTGTTACGTAGGGAGCAATTTTAGGGATTATGTCAGTTACTTTCGCTTGTTAAACTATGACTTGCTTTTAAATTTCATTAATTTTGGACCATTACCTCCTCCAATAAGTGTTTGTCTTATGTGTCTTTGCAGCCGCGTATGTGGTTATATGTCAATTATGTTAGCCTCGTTGTAAGTCAAGCCAAACCAAACCACGTATACTGCAAAAATCTATTGATTACTCTTACATGTTTGAACTCGTGGCATCTTATGTTAATTTAGTTGCTAGGAAGCATGATTGTAAATTAAGCATAACCATATAAACCTAATAAAATTATGTTGATTGTTGTCATATAGGAGGGGTTGTCAAGACTTTGTTTGATTAAATTGTCTGATCACTAATAAAGTCCACATGGACTTTTTTTCTTTTTGACTTTGGAATCCTGTCTGCCGTTGAAGCTAAAAAGCTCATCAACAAATACTTCAATCTAATTATGATTATTTTTACTCCGGATGGTCTCTTTTGTTTTTTGGCAAAAGTCCAGGTGCAGCACCTTGAAATCTTCAAAAAGTTTTGACTCTGGCTGTGGGCCTGGGCAATAGTTTATGGGAGGTAGAAACTCTGTTTTTATAGGCTATAAAATGCTAATAAGATGCTTTGACATTTTGAGTCTTATTAGTTACTCATGGTATGAGATATGAATAAAAGCTTGATGCATGAAAAGCTGTTTATGAAGTTTCTACTACATAAACTTTTTGAAGATTAACTATATCTGCGAATTTTTGATCGAATCATTACAGATAATATCAGCTTAACTATGAATAGTTAAAATATGGGTGAAATTTATAAACACTATTAGACATTCTGTTTAGAGAAGTTTGTGGTTGTATGTGGTAAATGTATCACCTCTTTTCAGTAGAAGGCATCCAAGCCTTGACCAGATTGAAATTTAGCGTTACTGTGGTAGTTATCTCCTTTCCCGAACATGAATACTGATGAAAATGTCGATTTTTTTGAGTTTGCGTTCTTGAGATGCTGCAAGCTTACTAAAGGGGTGGCTGCTGAACTATGTCCAACAGCAATTTACTCCGCTTCTTAGATTTCTTCCATTTTAAATAAAGTGAGATTTTTTATTCCCAGTATGTCATATTTTGAGTAAAACAGTTATAGTGTCCATTTTACCTTTGCAAGGAAAAAGAAAAGAAACCTGTCTGAATCTGATGCTTAATCTACCTTGTTATACAATTCTTCTGCTGCTAAACTTCCATTAGGATTTGACTTCTTATTTAAGTGTTTGTTACACGAGCACCAGAATGCATGAACATTTTTCCATTTTAGTGCACATTCTGGATGTGATTCAAGTATATTTATGTGAATTATAACACCTTATTAGTATTCCTTAGTTAGAGGAATATTTTCCAGTATTCAAGGGCTCCATATTTTCAAAATTCAGGCAAGCATCAAAATTAGATTCAATTTAGGTTTCTGATGGTTCGATATGCAGACCTTGTAAGTTATAGCATATTGTTTCTCTTTTTAGTTGAATAAGTTGTAAAGAAAAAATCCATTTCCGGCCTTACTTTACGTTCCTTTTGTTGTGGTTACAGCTTACAATACGGATTGAGAAAGGTGTTTCAGAAGTTTCTTCTCCTTCAAACACTCATAATACAGAAAGACTTAAATGAACTTTCACTGAATTGTTTATCTTGTTACTAAACTTCAACTTGATTGAAGATATGTGATCAAACTCTTTATCTATTCTATTATAAAATTTAGATAATAAAATAAAGAGCTCGTATATGGTAACCGTATCTCTTATTTTAATTAGGACACAGTTCTCTTTTATTAATGTGTCTTTGTGTGGAATGTGAACAAGCCTGCCGGTGGACAATATCTCCTGTTACATAATTTCATATATCTCGTAAATTTATATCTATTAAATGCTGATAATTTTCAAACTATGAATTTAGGTACAAGTTGCGTCCTGTTGCTGTGAAGATTATTCAGCCATGCAATACATCAGCTGTGACTCGTGAACATAAAGAGAAATTTCAGAGGGAGGTTACGCTGTTATCCAGGACGAACCATGAAAATATTGTGAAGGTATTCTAGTTTCATTCTGATATATAATAAATGTTATAGTCTATGCTTTAGCAATTGCTTAGAGATAGAAGTTAATAAACAAAGGACAAGATATCTAGAGGTCCTCTTTCTGAGTAAACATGAGCGTAGACATAAATTAGACATTGCTAGTGTCAATCATAACGTCCAAGGTAATTCTACTGGCTTTCTTTTGCAACAGGCAAAATTGTGTTTTGCACTTTCTTTCTTGGTTGCCTTGTCCAATTGTTCATTTGTTAATTTCATAAACCCATATCTTTTTGCACTCTATGAATGTGTTTTTTAAGCAAGCATGAATACTACTGACCTAGTTGTGAATCTGAACTGAATTATCAAATCCATTGCTCATGTTCCTAACTTATGAAGGAATTATCATGCAGTTGTGATCATAACTTGCCTTTTTTCCAGCTTTTGCATACTTTTTATATTGTAGTTAATCTTTTCTTATATCATGGATATCCTGTCCATATTGATACACGAACATGTCAATGCCATACTGCAAAATCATTCTAGAGAATGAAGAGGGCTGAGACAGAATTTCGAGTGCTAAGCGTATTTGGCTTTCTTTCATTTTCTTCAAGGCTACCGTTACTGGAAATCTGGCTCAAAATGAACCTTGTTTTAGAGATATGTCCCCCACAGCAGTTTAGATGGAGCCAATCCACATACTGAAATGAGGTTATCGTGCTGGCAATAACTTACTAAACAAGAAAATGTTTTCACTTTCTTTGGCCTTAAGTTTAGTGACAATTATTAAAATTCTTGTAAATGTAATTTCAAATCAGATAAGTAAATTCGGCCTATGCTACGCAGGCATATTTCTACCAACTTATCCTGCATTTAGTCTCTCATTCTAAATTTTGAGTTATATCTTGATAACAATATGTAGCTTCTTGTTGAGGATTAATTTTTCTGGAGCAGTTTGTTGGGGCAGTTGTTGAACCATCTCTGATGATGCTCACCGAAAACCTGAAAGGTGGAACACTTCAGAAGTTCTTGTGGAACATGCGTCCCATGCAGTTAGATCTGAAGCTTTCCTTGAGCTTTGCATTGGATATATCTCAAGCTATGGAGCACTTGCATGCAAATGGAATCATTCATCGTGACCTGAAGCCAAGTAATAGACTTTCTCTCCATCTTAGTTTTGTTGGCTATGTTTAGAACGTTCAGTAAGGGATGGATATGAATTTTTTGGTTTCGATTCAAATTCTTTGGTTACTACTAAATGAAATTGCAAAGTATAAATTGTACTCTTTTACTCCCAAGTAAGAAATTTTTATCTAACAGATCACAAAACTGTGAACATGCTTTCTGTTCTTTTTTTTCCTTTTTTTTTCTGTTCCATATTTTTGTTTTAATGTGATGTACTTTCTGTTGGCTGACATATTCGATGCCCATATGGAAACTCAAGCCTGAAAAAAGATATTGGAAGCAGAAGTGGTGCACTTTGTGCTCATGGAAGCAAGCTCTCTACATTTGTGAAAGATTTTATGAAACTAGTTCTAGAAATGATTGAATGTTGTTTTTGCTTTCCAGTATTAGACTCTATGAACATAAATGAGTACATCTTGATCCCATAGCATTTGGCATTGAAAACTTTTGTTGTATTAGATGATCATTGGTGTAGACCTCTATGGTATTGCAGGAAATATACTTCTGACAGATGACCAGAAGAAGATTAAGCTGGCAGACTTTGGACTAGCTAGAGAGGAGATAAAGGGCGGTATGACTTGTGAGGCTGGTACATACCGATGGATGGCTCCTGAGGTGCTTTTTCTCTCTCGACTCAATGAAGCCGTATAGTCATATACTCTCAAACCATGTCTAATTCTGCTTTTATAATTCAGCTTTTGAGCAAAGAACCACTCCTTGTTGGAGAGAAGAAACATTATGACCACAAAGTGGATGTCTACAGCTTTGCAATTGTTTTCTGGGAGCTGCTGACAAACAAGGCTCCATTCCATGGGAAAATTAATATACTGGTAGCGTATGCTGCATTTAAAGTAAGCCACTTATTATATTGCGTTTAATTCAATTCCGTTCTATTTATAGATACATAGATTCAGTTATTAATTTCTTCAATTTCAAAATGATGAATTTTTAGTTTTAAGTCATCATAAAAATACCAAATTTAAATTGGACATGGAATTGATTAGAAATTAAAATGTTGTATTCATTCAATTCTTTTTCTCATTTCCTCTGTATTGTCATTCGACGGACTTAAAATTCCTGCCTAAGTTGGCACAGCTTGTTCTTTTCCATGTAATCAAGCATGCATGACAAGAAGTTGATGTGGAAAATGAAGTTTCCATTATTGAAGCTGAAGCTTCTTCACTCTTTACTTGCAGAACGTAAGGCCAAGCCTGGAAAATATTCCAGAAGAGATTGCTCCACTGTTGCAGTCCTGTTGGGCAGAGGACCCAAAGCTTCGCCCAGAATTCAAAGAAATATCGGAGTCAATACGCGAACTCATCCACTATTTCTTCCCACCAGAGCCCACACCTGAAACCTTCTCCGAGACTGAACCATCCACTCACGACAGCACCATTGTCATTCCAGACGAAGAAGAAGAAGAAGAAGAAGAAGTTGTTGAGAATGCCCCTCCCATGAACAACCCTGAATCGACTCGGGTCCAGGTTCAAGACAAGCGCAAGAAGAGCATCAAGAGAACTCTTTCCTCTATTTTCAAGCGCTTTCGTGGTTGCGTGACCGGCCGATAGGCCGAATGTGTATATATACATACATATATATATATATATACATACTCAGACGTTTTGGTTTTGGTTTGAAATGCATTGAAGGGCTGCTACTGTGAGCCTCAGGGATTGGAAAGTGAAATGTAGAGGATGAAAGGGAGAATTATTTAGCAATAAAAGATTAGAAAGAGATAGGAAGGTGATAGAAGGCGAAGGCAAAGGGAAATGAGGAAGAACTGGAATTTTTTTGGTGGGAAACAAGTTCTTTGATTAGTTGTATTCTTCCTTGCTCATTTTTCACCCTTCTTGGGTGATCATTATGGACTCCAATATTTCTGCTAATACCTCTTGTATTTACGAGGAAGGTAATGTGAAATATCATTATTTGTTAGTGATGAGCAAATCAACTTCTATTATTTATATATATATATATATACACACACACACAGAGGCACACATTAGAAGAAAAAAAAAAAAAAATCAAGTACCAAGTAAGTTTATTTTATATATAAATGGAAAAGAGTTAGCATCGTTGATGAATTGTGAATGTTGTTAGTTGAGCCTGAAATCAACTTCTCAAAATTTGTACGCGTCAGGAATTTTGCAGGACCACATTATTTTCTCTGTTGTATTTTTTGAAATTTTTAATTACATTTATGTTTTTATAAAAATATAATGATTTATTTTATTTAATTTTATCACTTTTCTCTTTCCTAACTTCTTTTTTGTGATTTCATCCCAAGTTTTCTTCTTTTTTTTTTTTTTTTTTTGGGTCAGTAAGCAAATATATTCAGGATCTCTGCTAACTCATTTCTCATCTACATAGAGAGAATTATACTTTTAAATAAAATTACTATTTAAAAATATTATAAAACAAATAATTTTTACACAAATTACTTATATATAAAAAAAAATGAAAAATTCAAACAGTTATTTATTCTCAATCATATACATTTTTCAATTCTAATAAAGAGTTATATGATTATTTATTTTGAAAGTGTTATATTATTATTATACTATTATGAGTTACCTTAAAATAAAGTATGCAAATTGAATACCTAAAATATTAATGCTAGAAGGAATTTTTCAACTTTCGTTTTCAATATACAAAATACGGGTATGTAAGAAATCATTAATTGTTACTGATTATGTATGAAAATGGATAAATAAATTAAGATTTAAACTTAATACCTGAGACATATTCAGATTTAATAGCTCGTAAAATTTAAATTAAATATTTAATAATACATTGGTAAAAAATAAAAAAAATAACAATTTCTTGCATTTGAAAATCAAAAGGGATTATATTTACATTCTCAAACAAAAAAAATTTACTTATGGTCCGTTAGTGGTTGAAAGCCAAGTAATACTATTTTTCTTAAAGATGATGAAACAAGAAAATTCATATCGATTCACTTGCAAATTATTGTAATATATTATATAAATAGCACAGAATAATTAAATTAAAGAGTTAAAAAAAATACAATAAATATTAGAAATTTCATAATAATTTTAAAGCATTATTATATAAAATATCCAAGACCATAGAGATAAATAACCTTGCAAAAGATGACTATGAGTGTCTACTTACTATAAATGTATTGAGCATTAATCTTCCTTAATTCATTATGCATTTTAATAAAATAAATAAATTTCTATTCTAACAGTAATATTATAATTTTTTTTTTTAGTTTGACTAAATATAAAACATTTATGTTGAAAAAATGAGAACTATATTTCTTGTTTTTACCTTTATTCAGAATTTTTTTTTTTAAAATTATTTTCTACTACTTTTTTTATAGAGATAAAATTTCATCCCATTCTGATATTTAATATTTTAGACAGTCATGTACTTATACCTAACAATATTTTTAAAAAAATAAAAATTAACATAAATATTTTTAACAATATAATAATTATTCAGTATAATCAACACATAAATGATTTCAGAAAATTTATTGGATATAAAAATATATTTAAATTTTTTTAACAAGATCTCTATAAATTTTGATATTTTTAATTAAATTCGTCAACGTCAAACTTAAATATTAAATATATAATCCGTTGACGCGTCACAACCGGAGAGAAACAACAAGAAAACATATCCACAAGGCCTCTGAAATTTATATTTTTTTAAAAAATTATTATCACCAATGTCAACGAATTTTTTATTTAAAATTAATTATTCATATTTCCAGAAATTATATAATAAAATTATAAGTGAACTGTTACGAAATAAACCAGACACTAAAATTTTTTATATCAATATTAAATATATTTTTAATTATTTAATCCGATGAAATTTTAGAACCGGAGGGGAAGAACCGGAGAATACGGGTAACATACATCGCTGAGTCATACCTGAATTGCCGCTAAATGTCCAGAACCTAATCCAGTAAGACGTGGACAGCTGGAATCCTCTTCCTCGCACGTAAACCCTAACCCTCTCTCTCACTTCTCCCCTCAGGCCTCAATCTGTACTCTCCACTCTCTCACTCACCGTGCACAACAAACACGCCCGTAGGATACCGCCACGCCAGATTCATATACACAAACATAAAGATATATCTTGTTCTGTATTTTTTTTTTTAACACACCGAGGTTTAAGAGCGAAAATCCCGGAAGAGCAGCGACGACAAACGGCAACCGGA